ATACCGATGTATGATGGCGAAGAGCTATATATGATCGAGCTGGACCAGGGTGACGGTTGGACTAGAGTAAGACGCATTTCGCAACCGATCGAAGGTTTTGTGCCGACTTCGTACATAGAGTGTCATCTCTACAATACTTAGCCGCTTCTCCTAGGTTGTTAAAGGGAATCTGCGCGATGTGAAATCACTCGAAGGAGATTATGAACAAAGACGTATTTGGTGCCGTCGAAGACTTGAAGATTATGTGTTGGATGAATTGGCACAGGATATTGGGATGAGCGGATCGCAGGCCTAATCAATACTCTTGAACGATGGAAAGTCCAAAGATTCTTTGAAGATGCAATGAGGAACTTGTGGAAGTGAACAGGATTATGAATATTCACAAATAAAATATATTACAAAATTTCTCTTAAGATTTATAAGATTGATGAAAGATAAAAGATAGAATTTCTTATTCATGAAAAAAATCTTTCATCAATCTAAAAATCCACAGTCATAATCTATAGAAGTAGAAGCATCCGCGGAATCGGATTATCGCGTGCTAATATTCTCATATTTAACGAAATTGCGATCACACTTCCAACACATCTTCTCAAGGATTCCTGTTCGATCGATCGGCCGATTGATCAGGAATAAACAAAGGAACGATACGATACGAACAAACGCCCCGGCTTTGTGATCAATCAATCTAATATAAGCGTAATAGGAATAGGATCGAGCTCATTTTTGGGCTTATTATAGACCCCTAAGAAATATATTTTGCCTTTATTCGAATTTATTTAATATAATACTTTGTTATGTAATAACTCTTGCAATTATCTGTTAAAAAGGTATTTAACAGATTTTAATAGCGTATTATTAATAGCGAATGTATTATTTACATTTACGTTTAAATCATTATTTTCGTGATCTAAAAAATACAATTTTTTTTTTATGAAGGCTCTCGCGGCGGTCGTACAGTCTTACTCGCATTATTATATTATTTTAAAGTTATAAGTTGATATTAATGGCTGTTGATAATTATTAATGATGAATTTTTAACCGCGGCTCTATTGTTACCGCGAGAAGAAATTCTATATGCGGAAGACCATATTGGGACCTGCATCTTTTTGCGTTTAATTTGTCGAAATTACTACTGATAACAATAATTATTACTAATCTCAAAAATTTTAATTAGAAATACTGTATCTTGCAGACTGTACATTATATTTTATTGTGTAAATAAATAATTCTCTTTTTTATTATTTTAAATTAGGTCTTATATGAAGGGCCACTGTGGTCCCTAAGTCTATTTACGGCAGGAAACTCATGAATCCAGAAGTAAGGGTTGAATTTAGGCATCTGTATGATAGTGTTATGTCTGATTATATACATACTCGATTATATGCATTTGTCATTTTTAATCCTTTAACAGAAGCAAGAATCGAAATAGAAAAATTGCGTTATTGGATAATTGTTGAAACAATAATTATTTAAACTCGTAAATTGAGAAATGCCAGATTTTTAGTCAGCTATTAGCACCATGATTGACGAAAATAGTGCAATATTCTGATTAAAAATCTTGAGACGAGTCTTCTGTCTGTATAAAAATTTATATATAAGTTCTCAAGCTCGCTACAGAATTACACTAATGTAGCTGCATAAGGATTAAAGCGCGACGTCTTTTCGTGAAGAGTCGATAGTGAAATATCTTTAATGCACTCACGTGACTTTCCGAGACGTATTCTTTTTCCGTGTAGATGTGCACGAAAGAAACATTTAACGACCTCGTTGAGAAAAAGAGAAGTAACTATCTTAATAATAATAATCGCGCTCCGCCTACTTGTCACTTGCAAATTAATCATAACTGTTGTAATCGTCGCCGCACCGAAGTTTTATCGTTCTTTTGTATACTTGACTCGACGTAAAGGCGGCCGACTGTTACACGGACACGGCTCACTATCACGCTAAGAGAACACGAGACTGATCGCTGCTAGAGTTTCGTCGTACTCGCGCGAGTCGAACAAAATCTCGTTTACTCGTAATCGAGATCGCAAAAATCGGCATGATTCCGAGGTATATTGGCATCGAGAGAAGAATTATAGAAATTATGAAAGCACATAGTACAGGATAAAATTCGGCAAAGGATTTATACATATATAATTAGGATTTTATAATTGAACATTCATATATATACAATTTTATGAAATCGAGGCTTTTCTTTAAAGTTATGCTTCTTCTTCCAAGGAATCATATATTTGTAATATCTGAAATTTGTGCAAAATCTAATTTTTAATTTTAATAAAAAAGATTCTTAATATTGTTCTAATTTTTAATTAAGCGAAGCTTAAAGAAATCCGAAGCGAAAAGATTTTATAAAGTTGGATGAATATATATTAGATGTGCCAAAATTTACGAAATTGAAATTTTTTGCAATACTTTTTAAAATCTTAAAAATCTTCTTGTGGTTCTTTAACATTCTACAAACTTAAGATTGTTTTATTTAAATCGCATGTAATCGAGATTAAGCAAAAGGAGATGTCTGTAGATATGAAGGATCCTGAAATCCGATTACGTGTAACATCAGTTTATGATGAGAAACAGGTTGTTCCGATGGATCAGTCGGCGTACCTCGTTTAAGGAGTTGCCTGAATGTGACTAGTTATAATAGATTTATGTAAATATTGTCAGGAAGATGGAAGTGAGAGCGAGGCTATTCAGTATGCGAGTGCCAGAATCGATATTAAGATGAGAAGGATTCGCTTCTGTCACGGACAAGAGCTTGATTCTTAAATATTTGGGTATTCAGCGATAAACTGTGCTGCGTTGATGTTATACATCGTTATATTTAAATGGCCGAAAAATAGTGTTCGATAATCATAGGCGGTAAGTTGTAACTGTAGAAGATATAACGTTGCCACTATTGTTATTTCGAACAATATTTTGCGATAATGAAAATCTCGATGAATATTGTTAAAGCAGTACAGAGAAGTATATATCTGAAAGATCCGATCCTTTATTCACATGTCTTGGAAGGAAGTCCGCGCGATCACGAGAACCTGGTGTGTTCATCGTACTTTTCCAAGCAGAATCCGGGATTCGTGTAACTTTCTCGTGTATTGAATGTATATGTATATATTATATATATAGATATATATAGATATTATATATTCGATCGTCAGGAAGAAAAGGCGTAGCTTCACGTATAGTCGTACGCAAGTACATAAATAAATATGATCAGTTCACTCATACATACATACGCACACGCGCATCCTGCCCCCGCTCTTGATTGCTTCCGGTTCGTTAACGGCGAAAACAAGGGAATTGCTCGGCGATTATGTCAAAATGAACGGGGGGTATGTACGCTCCGACGTTTCATTGTGTCTGTTTTATGTATATTTTGTGATTCTCTATATGCGCGAACAAGTATTGTAGATAATTAATTTTGCGTTTTATTGTACTTTATTATTATTTTTATTATTATTATTAATATTGAAAAAAATACAGGTACTAAACCAATATAACTGTTTCGAATACGTTAAAACGTGCCTAATACATATATTTGCGCTTTTTTATATCCAGAGTTCTTCCTCGTATTTTTAATATTTAATTTTATCTGTTATAAAAATATATTTTGAAAAATATGTTTACTTAGTTTCAGTTCAAAAGTACACTTTATATTTCTTGTATGACGATTTTTTAATGTCAATTTCTACTATTTTGTTGTTACATAAAAATAAAAAATATATAAATATCATAATAATAGTTAAATCATGAATATAATATTCATATTTATACGAATACCTTGAACAGTATTGTTTATAATAATCATAATAATAGTATTATTTAACAATAAGTATTAAAACGTGAATTAATACTTTATTTAGTAGATAAAACTTATTTAATATGTATTCAAGTAATTATTACACAATGCAAAAGTATATAGTTTTAGTTATTTTTGTATTACAGAGAGATAAGAGATTTATTTTGTTTTAAAAATTTTATTCATTGAACTCACAATTATATAGAATTAGCAGATTGAAGCATGCACCGCCGTCATCTTTATTTTGTGTCACGTTGCAACTATTTCTGATCGAAATTATATATTATCTTGTGTTTTATTAATCGCCTGAACTAATACATTGCACGTGAATAAACATCGCGAGTATCAAAGTACTAAACAATCATTGTATCATGCAATACTTTCCGTATTTATATTACTATCTATAATTAATTATATTTTTTGATCACATGAGTGAGTAATTGTAATGAAGTTGAGATTACGTGCAATTTAAAGCTGATAATGCATCGACAATTCGGTAACTAAATTCATTTTATCACATAGTATGTAAAGTTAATTTAATCTATAAAAATTAAAAAAAGGAATCAGTTGAGCATTAGTTACATTAATTAGCGCAATTAAAGCTACAGATAAAAGGTTTTGTTCAAAATATTTTGGTGTTTCGGATTAAATAGCAGTTATGAATAATCAGCGGTATTAACGAGTCAGTAAAATTTTATTATAGAACTTTAAGTAATAAGTATATTTTTATACTTGCGCGGTTGTTAAATGATTCACAATTTAAAATTGTTTATTATTTTAAGTTTGATTTTTCTTTCATATAATTTTTTCAATAGCCTTCATTTATTTATTCTAATTGGTTTTCAATTTTTGGATATATAATTAAATATATAATTTCTAATATATATAATTTCTGTATTCAAAACATTCTTTTATGTTTGAAATTCTACAATACGTAATGCGAACTATGTACTAAATACATGCTAATATCGTAAAAGCGTTTACCGAATGGATCTTCAGCTTCTCTACCTTCATAAAACGCACGGTCCCAAATTCCGAAAGACTGAAATTTTTTGTGCGTAGCGTTTATATACCACATTCGGAAGCTAGCGCGATCCAATACCGCTGAAAACGCACGGACCCAAATTCCGAAAAAGACTGAAATATTTTGCGCGTAGCGTTTATATACCACATTGGAAAGCTAGCGCGAGCCAATAAGCATCCGCAGCGAGGCATCACGCTCATTGGCTGGCATGCGAGTGGTGGGGGGTTCGCCGTTTGACGGCTTATAAATAGCGCGTAATTCTCAATTTCATGCCTTTGCGACTCGAACAGGGGACGAGGGTATGTCGTTTAAACGTTCATTTTAACATTGGAGAAGTTTGCAGCCCTGTCTTCGAAACGATTGTGACTTTTTCTCTATATTCTAATCTCTGCTGATTATAAAACGACGACAAACGGAGAAGGAACGTCCATCGTTGGATTTCTTTACTAAGGTAATCAATAATTAACTTTGTCTTTACTTCTTAACAGTATAAATATCGCGTAGAATATTGCAGATTCTAGTATAGCACACTGATTATTCTCGCAGAAAGTATATTTCTCGCATATTCGTTCGATCGAAAATAAAGACGCAACGTCTTGTCGTCGCGTCTCGCGTCGCTTTTTACGCGTGAAGTTGACCGCACATGAAAAACGATGCCGCTTCCCCATTTTGATCGCATTCACATTTCATTCGTGAAATGTGGCGGATAGAGAATGACACGGCGGAACGGACCGGCTCTCAGAGGAGTGGAAACGCGCGATCAAATATGGTAATTAAAACCTATATAATACCTGAATGTATAACTTGAATGTATATTTTTATACGCGATATTTAACTACCGACTGTAGATTCAGTAATCGCATATTAATAATCCGTTCAAACGCGTATTTGATGAAATCACTTCGGTACAATAATTTCATTTATTTGCAAAATGCGGTGAATACGAGATGGTCGGCTCCAAATGAATGGCGTCGCAACTTATTGAATTGGTAAGCAAAATTTATATTAATATTATATCGATAATTCATTCGAGCACGTATTTAACAATACTCGTGCAGTCGAATAGCGTTTCGTCTTTGATATGTAAAGTCAACTTGTCCAGAAATTTTTCACTATTTTAGATGCATTCCAATGTCCAAATTTTATTTGTAAAATATCGCAAGACAAACATGATAAATTTTTGCGTTCTTATTTTTTTGCTGTCACAAATTATGTATCACGTATAATACCGACAACACGAACAAAATATAACATGGTCGCATAATATTTAGGGTGTGTTCCGCTTTTACGCTCATATGCTGTAAGCATCAGTTCATCCTTAATTGTTGTCTATCAAATATTAAACAGGAAAAATGATGCTTACAAGTATTGTAAGTACAAAACAGAGCGCATCTTTAGTAATTATTTGCAACTGCACTTAATTTTAACAAATGATTTGTTTCAACTAGGTACTGTCTATATGTCACAAAGTAAGCAATAGGAACAGAAGAGAGACGAGAAACAGGCTTGACAATTCTGTGAGGAGGAGGAAGAGGAAGAAGAGGAAGAGGAAGAGGAAGAGGAAGAGGAAGAGGAAGAGGAAGAGGAGGCTTAAGAAAAGCAATGGGTTTCGATGGAGCAACTTTGTAGTAAGCAAGCTTATTGCTTACTTGCATAAAAAATTAGTTATTTTTTCCATTAGATTGTTTTATTTCGATGACTAAAAATAATTGAAGAAAAAGAATTAATCTAAAATGTTATGGAAATTTATTCCTCACGAAAACAATTTTGAGAAAATGTATAATTATTTTTTAACAGATATATAGTTGAAAAATTCAATGTGTATAAAAATTATTTTTTGAATTATTAATTATTTTTAACTTTATTTTAATTTGGATCTTGTATTTGTATGTTACAGAACTATGTAGCTGATAACTCCACTGCTGCGCATCAGTCGGTGAGTGACAAAGATTTTATCAGGTAACGAATCTGTGAAAAATATAGCATATCTATCATTATATTAGAAATAAATATAATGCTTTATAAATCCGTTACTTTGAAATGAATTAGTTAAATTTATAAACAATTATGATACATATTTAATCTTGGATTTATATATCGTTATTTGTCAATTTGATCGGCGCTTGGTGTGCTATTGTGCTTGAGATTATTATGTTTATAAAATGAAAAAAAATTTTTAATCTATAATTATATAAAAAATTAACATATTTTATACAATTATATATAATATTATATATAATTATACATAATTATATAAATATAATACAATTATATATAATTATATAAAAATATGTCTCTATATATATATAAAACATTGTTTCCCGGATATTTACACAAGTATACACATAAAAAAAGAAAATGAAATA